CATGGCTGTCCTCCTGGTGTTTGTGTCAACTGTGGCCAACTGTGTCGTCCCCTTGATGAAAACACGAAGCCGCACTTTTTCCACGCTGCTCCTTGTCATCCTGCTCGCCTTCCTCTGGAGGCACTGGGAGGCTATTTCAGAGTATCTGCATCAATTCCTGATAAACCCCAGATGACCTACTGGGAGAAACCAATCAAAGCAATGAAAGGGACTCTGAAGGTTGAAGGGAAGACGGATCCACTGAAGGTTGTGTCTTTTTGTCCAGTTCTTGATCATACACTTTCTCTAAAAACACTCAGGAGTGTAGAAGAAGTTTGTCACTTTACCACTTTGTGAAGTTTGTTTTCGGAAGTGGATAATCAAAAATAGAGGAGCTAAAAAGGTCTGGCATCACCTTCTGTCATGGGTACAATGGAGGCATGAGCAGCTTACCCTGGTGGGGGGCATATTTGAAGGAGGGCCTGAGAGAACTGCACACTGGATTTCTCTCTGAGTGAATTTGTTTACAAGTGGAAAAAAAACCTTACATTGTTTTTCACCTTAGTTTTTATCTGTATTTTATTCAATTGGTATTGCTTTGAAGTCACTGCTATTTTTAATAAAGCTTGACCGGTTTTCTCTCTAACTGTAATGAGCTGATGGTGTTCTGTGGTTTTAGTGTCCCTGGTTTTTATTTTTATGTTTTATAAGAAAGTTCTCTTTTCAGTCTTTTTTTGTATTTAATTTCTCCCTTTTCTCATCATCACTGCATTTCAGCTTATGTAACAAAGTTCTCCTTCCAGGTCATCTAAGATCAGGGGCCTGTGTTTCTGTATCAGTGCTCTGAGCTCACATTTGTTACTGAGTCAAACAGCAGGGGGTTGTTGAATTGCTTCCTTTGGCTGCGTGGAGTCGATCACACTGGTTTTTATCACTAACAGGATGCTACTACCAGAAGATGTGACCGCCCTCCTCCTCTGACTGGACATCACACTTTTCCTAGTGACTCTTTCACTGTGGAAAGGATAATCTATAAACTGAATTAACATACTTGAAGAGCTGCTAAAATGCTCAAAGACTTAGTGCTTCCGTACTGTTTCTATTAGTGACGACAAAATATGAACACATTAGTTTGTTTTGTTTTTTTATTTTTGAATAATAAATAAATTTGCTGTTTTAAAATGCTACGCTTTAGGTCTAACTTGCATTTGTTTGCAGTTGTCAACAACTCAATTGCATAATACATTACCAAAAAGAAAACCCTCTTTGTGTCTGTTTTATTTATGTTTAGATAGATTTAGTTTATTATCATCTGTAAAATATGGAAATGAATAGAAGTGAATGTATGGATTCCTGATTCTGACATTATCTTTAAGTTTCTTACAAAGGTAGTGTTCAAAATTGGTAGGAGGTTTATCCACCTTAAAGGAATTATAGGTGGAAGATATTAGATGTTTTCTGTGTGGTTTTGAGTAAAAATAGTAAGATTTATGGGGGCATAATGTATAAGTAAATACTCAAAATGTAAAACATCATCAGGTTGTTTTCATTTAAAACGGGAAAACGAACTTTATACTTTAAGCTGCTAAAATCCTTTGTTTTAGGGATCAGAGATTAACACAGACATGGGTGGATATTAGCTGGGTACTTTAGTAGGGTTGTTGGCGTTGTGTAGCCGACTGCATTCAGCTGAATGATGTCCCGGTAATAGCTTCTCAACTAGGTTTAATATGTTTTTTATTGATTAGTAATGGGTGGCTGTTCATTTTCAGTCCTACCATCGCACTCCTTCCTCTGGTTTTCTAGTAATATGCTTTGATACATCACTCTGTGGGCAGCCAAGTTCTTCAGCAAATCCTTTTTTTTGTCTTGTAATTGATCTTCCGCATATTTTTTATTTTTGCCTGAGACTGCAAGCTACAAGTAGTGACTGAAATAACTGATTCAAAATCTGTTATGCACTAGCACTCCAGACAGATTTTATTTAACGGCAGGGAATAAAATAATATAAGATAAAGAACTTTAGGATGTGTTTTGGCCTAGAGGCAGCTCATCTAAAAAAACAAACAAATGTTTTCAGTTCTATTTTGTTGATTAATGTTGCAGAAGAAACTATAGTATTTAACATTAAATATCTATAAAGAATGAAAAAAACCCTACAAATATAGATAAAAACCCCTACAAACAGTAGAGTAATATTTACATTTATAGAATTAAAGTTTAGTTTCCTCAAGCATGCAGGACATTTCTTCAAGCTTTTGTCAGAGAATAGGCTGCTCTCAGGAGCTCGGTCTGTTTTAGTTTGGAAACCATGTTTTAATTTGATTATTCTCGCAGTTTCAGGTCAGATTACACATTTTTTTTCTTCCGTTTGTTGAATTCAAAAGTAATATGTCATGACAATTATTTAATTCATGTTTTAATTTCTTTCAGTTTCATAATCTTCCACCTTATTGTTCCTGCAGTGAGATTCTCTGATCACAAATATTTATGGTCAAGGCTGATATGAACAAATAACATATGACATTGTCTTTAACAGATTTGACACATACACTCAGTATTTGCATTAATGTTGATTTGATGGTGGATTCCATAGTACACTCACTGGCAATGAAAATTAGGCCTACCAGCCAGACTCACTAAGGCTCAATACTCTTAGACTGGTCCAGTCTAAAACAGAGTGATGTCCCGATTCTGACTGTTTGGTTCTCCATCCAATCTGCATTTTTAAATGATAAGTTGTGCCAATAGCAATATGATGCCTATGTTTTCAAAGAAACTACCTCTGCCAACCTTTCTTGCTGTGGTTTCACAGCCCTCCTCTTACAATCTTTTCTAAGTGAAAAATCAAATTAGAGATATCAAAGCAAGCTATGTGACAAGAAGAGTCCAGTTTATGATGTTACATGTTGTTTACAAAGTAAAAAAGTGTTGCAACACAAAATCGGACATCTGTGCATGGTGTTGCACTTTGATTTACAGCAGCTTTAAAGCTTTGATGACGCTGAAAACTATTGGCCCAATCCTGCGATGAATTCCAATAATTTCCATTTTTCTAAAAACTCCTGTATTGGCAGGTAATACCGTTAACGAGTACCTGGTCTTGACATCCCCAGTCACAGTACAGGAGGCGGGCCCATAATCTAAAACTACATTTGATGTCCCTAAAGAACTGATTATATCAAAATTGCATCAGGCCAGGCTAATATAAGTGTTACAGTCAGTTTTGCTGTATTTGTTGTATTTATTGTTCATCCATGTTAGCTACAGTGAGATGCTACTGCTATAAAGGCTGTGGGATATCACAGCCCAGGATGCAGCATTTCCTATCCTCATCCAGTAGTTCACTATCAGAAAGCATCGTCCCTTGAATTCTGATTGGTCAGGATGTGTACATGTCAATATGTAATTTTGTTAAATGGATTTTTATCTGGATCACTGAAGTAAGCGTAAAGAGTTTTGTCATTTAGAATAATCCAGAAGAAGACCACAAATCCAAAAGGTGTTGATTTGGTTATAAAATTAGTTCCCAGTACTTCGAATATTGCTAGTCTTAGAGGGATGCACAAATGCTGTAGATTAATAGTAATTAGTGAAAACAAAAAACTTGGAACAATCTCTACAGAAGGCAATAAGGCCTTTCCTCTAGATATTTTTTATACAGGTGGCTTTTAATAGTTTAGATTAAAAACCTGTTATAAAAATGACTATTCTTCCTTATCTCCTAAAATAAAGAGCTCATCTTGTTCTATGGGATTGTTATTGCATGTCTTCTGGAGCAGCTGATAGGCCTACAGAGGAAGCTTCACAGAATAATAATATTAATAATTCCATCTGAAAAACTCACACAAAGAGAAAAGACAATTAGGATAAATGTATTAATACAATTACTTTGTTTTTGGTGCTCAGACCTCTGCAGGAAACATAGCGTTTAATTTTGATAGATATGCATGAACAGGAGCAAAGAAGAGGGTTGTTTCCACCCAGGCCTGAAACTGGGCGTGGAGTGGAGATAGATGAAGTTGGTCAGTCTGTAGACTGCTGGTTGGTGAGACGGTATGCTGAGTTTTATGGGGAGATTCAGTGGACTGCGTGAGCTGATGCTAGAGCTTCACTCAGGGACCTGGAAGATGGAAGTCCAGTTGGATAACACAGGTCGAAAGAACCTGTCCATGATGAGCAAGTATGAAGCAACAGTGGAGAGAAAAAACTTCCCCTCTGGCAGAACCAGGCTCAACATGGCGGGTTTCTGCCGGACCGGTTGAGATGAGACAGGGAAAGCAGTAAGAGTCTGGGAGGAATGACACTCTGATGAAGCTTTAGCTATGATGGTGGAGGAGGGGCTGGAGGTGGGTTAAAACGGTGTCATCTGAAAGAAGTCACACAGCGCATCCGCCGCCTGCGCACAGGAGCAGATAGGGGTGTATCAGAGGTCTTTTATGATGAACTTTGGATGCCGATTGGCTTTCGCCGCAGGTGGATAAAGGAAAGAAATTAGTTTCTTCAGTTTAACTTACACCTAGGCTTCATAATAAAAAAACATCCAAAGACAGCAGTTGCAAGAGTAAACTCTGCAAACTGCAAGAGTAAACTCTTAAACAGTATTCTGTATGGGTGGATTCCACATGTCTGACTATAATTTTCTAAAATATGTTTTTTTTTTCTTTTTAGAAAAGTGTGAGAGAAAATAAATATTTATAGGATAAAGGAAGATTATAGAAACATAAAAAAGCAAGCATAAATACAAAATAATACATTTGCATTTTGATCCATGATTGAAAAGACTAACGTTGCTCAGCGCTTAGTTTAGAAAAAAAAGCAAACATCCTGGAACATAAATAATTGTAGTGGCTTGATTAATTAAATATTAAACCATGATAAATGCAATCCTGGCTTCCCACCGCTGATCCATGGTCATTCCTCCATATTTTTTCTATGTTATCAGTGATCGTCTCTGGGCCCCTGCATCCTGTCCGGGGCCGCAAACTTGTTGCACTAGATGAAAACTCCTCCCACTCCGTCTCTGTCCGTTCTGTCCAGGTCATCCTCCGGCTGACTCATTAGGAGCGAACAATTAACATGCTCTCACCTGCAGAGCCTAATCAGGAGCTCGCTGTGCAACACCTGCTCTATTGGTATCAGTTGTATAAAGTGGAAGCGACACTCTGCTTCATCCGATGTGCGTTTTATCTCCGGTTCACTCTGAAAAGCATGCCTCCCAAAAAGCAAGTAGCGCAGCCTGCTGAGCCGCAGCCCGATTCAAACAGCGCACCTGCAGATGGGACGACTGAGAAAAAAGAATCTGGTTTGTTAGCTTATATATACAAACGGGAACGTTTAAAATTGTTTATTTGAGCGGCTTCATTATTTTTTTTTTGTCTCTTCTAGGACCTCCAGTGGCCGTGCGTAAACCTGCAGCTCATCCATCCACTGCGATCATGGTGAGAGAGGCACTTAAAGCTCTGGATTCACGCAAAGGAGTGTCCTCCCAGGCCATCCAGAGCTACATCAAACAGAATTACCCCTCTGTGGATCTGGTGAGGCTAAAGAACTTTGTTCGCAGAGCCTTGAAGAAAGGAATAGAGAATGGGACTCTGGTGAGGCCTTCCAATGCCACCATCACCACAGGCGCTATGGGAAAGTTTAGGGTAGGAAAACTAAATGAAGCACAGCAGCTTTCAATCTGATTAAATCATTTTTTATTAACTATTATATCTTGTGTGTGTATGTGTATAAAAAAAAAAAAGCTTGCACCTAAAGTTAAAGAGGCAAAGCCGAAGAGTGAGAACAGGGATCCAAATATGCAAAAATCTCCAAATGAAGGAAAGAAGACAAAGGCAGCAGGTATGAATTAAGTGAAATGCATATTTTCAAATGACTTTAGACTCATGGCATAGTGTGTTTGTTTTTTACAAGGTGTCACAAAGAAGAAAAAGTCTACGAATGAAGGGGCAAAATCTACCAAGGTAGGGGATAAATTTACAGGGAAATGGAGTTTGCAGCAAAGGATTAACTTGACTAAACTTTCCAAATGTTCAAATCATTTAAAAACTCCTTACACCTTTTGACTACTTCTGGCTTGGCCTCCTGATGATAAACTTTTTTTTTATTTTTTTTATCCTTCCCTTAGAACGCGAAGCCTGCGAAAAGCTCAAATGACGAGGGAGCTGCTCCTTCAAAGGTACCTCCAGTAAAGAAGCCAAAAGCTAAAAAAGCAGACGCAAAGGGAAGCTCTGATTCCACCAAAAAGGCT